CAAATATAAAATAGAATATGGTTCATCGGCAGATACAGGTCTACAAAACTTATGTTCTTTTTTAAAAGATTTATTCAATAATGGAAAAGAATTATTAACAAAAAATACAATGATTAATGAAAATCAACAATTTCTTATTACACTCAATTCTCAAGAACAAATACAAGATAAAATTAAAATTGACAATGATATTGACATTGATATGGATACATTTTGTATTCTTTTAAATATTTTTAATGATCGATTACCAGCTGATTATCAAATATTGTGGTGTTCTATTTCGACGGATGATGATATTCGATTATTTTTTTCACGGGTACGAACATTTCGATATTTGACATTTGTCGTTATGGATATTGATAAAATGCATCATCGACTACGAGAATTATTATTAAATGAAAAAGATTCATTAGCAAAACAATCTGAACCACATGGACCGATTTATTATTTTTCAAGAGAATTAATATCATCTAACAAAGGTTTACGATCATTTTATATAAGACCTCAATATCGAAATCCATCTCAAACTTATTCACAATTTATGTCATTATTACGAAGAAATAATTTTTCATCCCCACAAATTCAAATCATATATGGAACTAGTGGAGTTGGTATGAAATTCTATTTTTTATTATTTTCTTTTCTTCTTTTAAAATTCTTCTTTCTTTTTTCTTTTTTCTTTTTAGGAAAAACTCATCGTATAAAAACAAAATATAAAGATCATAATACATCATGTGTAAGTATTAATGATAGATTAAATTTATCATCATTAATTAATACATTTCTATCATTGGAATCGAAAATATCAAATGATCAACCATCAATCTATTTTAATATTTCTATTCATGCAGTTTTTAAACAATTAAATCATGCACTTTTTTCTTTATTTGTATGTGGTTCATTAAATGATCACGATAGTGGTCTTACATTTTCACCATCAATGGCAACACCATGGCGATTTGTTATTGAAATACCTTATACAGATAAATGTACTAAAACGATTAAAGAAAATTTTGATCAAATATTACCTATACTTTCGATTATATCATCAAATAATATAGAAGAAGTTACTGATGCTAATTATCAATTATATATAGGTGAAGAAGAAGAACTTGTTGCAAGATTTCTTAAAGCTTATGAAAATCGAACTATTGATCGTGTTTTAAGAGAAAATTTAATTTATGATGAAGAATTCTTGTGTTTTGATCCATTAACAGATCATAATGAATGTCGCCAACATATATACAATTGTATTGAAAAATATGCACCAGAATTGCCAAGAAATAAAATTATTGAGCTTTCATTTACAAAATTTTTATATCGTCGTATTCGATTTTTTACAGGATTTTATTATTGTTATAATATGACTATTGAACGTCTTGGTTCAATTACGATGAAACAAATGATAAATGAAGCAAAAAATCTTACTCAAATAAATTTTTCTTCAAATGAATATCCACGTATCTATCTTGTTTATGATCCAGATTTTTCATTACATTTATTGCATAATAATTGGCAAGAAGTTCCATCAACATTAAAATCTCTTTTCGATAATCGAGATCCGTTGAAAACAGAAGAATATAGAAATAAAAATTATTTCATTAAATGTTTATCATGGTTAATAGATATTCCTTATGATACATTTGAAACAATAATGAATGAAACAAAATTTATTTTAACAGAAAATTTTGCTTATAAACTTTTTCATGTTCATGAAAGAAAACTAACAAGATTACCTTTAATTATTGAAGGTGAAACAGGTGTTGGAAAAACTTTTCTTCTTAAATTTTATTCATTATTACTTAATTCCAATGAAATTTATAATAAAATTCATAATAATATTATACCACGAATTCATGAACGTATAAGTTTATGGTTATTGAAATATATTATCAAAGATATTCTAGAAAATGAACCTAATTTATTAAATCAATTTCTTCAACGAATAGAATCAAAACTAGATGATATCGAGAATACAAATGATATTGAAGAAGAAAACGAAGATTTATTTCAAGAAGAAAATCAACCTATAAATTATGAACTCTTGTTAGAAATAAAAGAATCTTTAAAAAATTCTAAATATAATAATAATATTCTACGAATTATATGGAAAACAATTCTTACTGTCTCAAACGAAAATGATGATAAAATTGTTGAAAAACTTGTTGTTGCATTGCATAAATTTGTAACATCACATTTAATAGATTTTCCATTAATTGAAATTAGTATTCAATTACAAAAGTTATTAAATAAATTATATCTACCAACAGTTGAAGAATCTATTGAAATTTTTAATGAATTCATTAACCATACTTGTTTTAAACCATTATTTTATCGTCTTCTCTTACATCCTGGTGTAACAGAAAAACAAATTGAAGATTTCATGTTTCCTATTTCTCAATTAGCTGAACAAATACCTAATATTGAATTAGTCATATTTTTTGATGAAGTTAATACATCTTCTTGTCTTGGTTTATTTAAAGAAATGTTTATCGATGTAACATTACATGGAATTAGTGTACCAAAAAATATCTTCTTTANNNNAAAACAAATTGAAGATTTCATGTTTCCTATTTCTCAATTAGCTGAACAAATACCTAATATTGAATTAGTCATATTTTTTGATGAAGTTAATACATCTTCTTGTCTTGGTTTATTTAAAGAAATGTTTATCGATGGAACATTACATGGAATTAATGTACCAAAAAATATCTTCTTTACTGCAGCCATTAATCCATTAATAAATCTTAATAATGATTTTCAAGTTCATCGTCGTGATTATATTGTACATGAATTACCACAATCGTTAGATAATCTTAAAGTTTCTTATGGAATATTAGATTCAAATACATTAACAGATTATATCAAACAAAAAATATCAAGATTTACTGTTACTTCAACAAGGAATACTCAAACGCAAATGCCATTAGAATTATATGTACAAGAAATGCTCACTCAATCTATTCTTCAAGCACAAGAATTTTGTGAAATACATCTCGGTATTATTTTTTTTTTATTAAAATTATTTGAAGATAATCGTAACTAAATTCTTTTAACATAAAGAAATTTTGTGAAATGAAAAATGAGATAACTACGAAAAAAAGAATACATAAACATGTGTATAAGAAATAGAAACCTACACTCGATCATGATTGTAACAAAAAAAATAATTAGTTTAACAATAAAAAGTTCGATTAAATAATTGAAAATATAAATTTTATTTGCTAAATGATTCTCTTTCATGTGATATATGACAGTGGAGAAAATATTTGTTCTTCATAGAGGAAAATGTTCCGCTTTAAGAGCACGTTGAAGTTTTGAAACATATGTCTCCTTTCATTTTATGGTGAGTTCCTATGTGTTAAGAGGTTCATAGGAATACATCTTACATGTAGCTCCAGATTCTCAGAAATCTAGAACCATTTGTGGATTTTCATGCTAAGAAATAAAAACTTGAAACTGACAACAAAAATGATTGAAATATCTTGTTTACATTGAATACCCTACAAATTTTCTCAACCATGAAAATATCATTTTGAAAGGAATTCATTTTCAATCAAAATATTCAAATTACATTTTTTATTTTCAATTGTTTTATTAATTACGATGATGATCTAGTGTAAATGTCGAATGAAGAGATAGAATTAAGATTAGAAATATTTTCGGAATAGATATGTACTATTATTAGTTCGATAGCTTATGTTTTGATTTTATTTAGGACGAAATTCTGTATCACAAAGAGAAATTCAAAGATGTTTTAATCTTATTGACTTCTTTTGGACAATGCAATATGATAAAGACTATGAGGAACCAGATCCAATACGATGTATTGCTTTATCATTGGCATTAATTTACTATTTTCGACTGCCAACCAAAGAAGATAATGCACAACGAAATGATCACACAACACCATCACGTGAAAAGCTTGGTGAAATTCTTTCTCAAAGTATACCAGATTTTGTTCAAATTATTCAAAATGAACTTGAAAGATTTGTTAATACCGATAATTTTGTTATTCCACATGGAGTAGCTGTTAATCAAGCCGTAAGTAGGAATGCATAAGTTATAGTACTAGTATTCATTTAGCTCCTCCAGTGGTATTGAATATTTTTCTAAGTCAGTGTAATTACAAAAGCTTAGTGTTATTAAAAGAAAAAACTGGTACGTATGGATGATTTCATATCGTGCATGCTTAAATAGTACTACTTATATCATTCAGAACATACATCGTCGTACTATGGTGGAATGAGTCTATTCGGAATAATAAATAGTTGATATTCAGGCATGCACAATATGAAATCATCCATACAAACTTAGATTTTTTTTTATAACACTCACCTGTTGTAATTGAACTGACTATGAAAAATATTAAATACTGCTAAAGTAGCTGAATGAATACCAATGTGAAACCGACATTGATGCGTATATCTAGTCTTAAGACTTTTTGTTTTGTTATCTTGTTTTTAGATTCGTGAACATATCTTTTCAATTGTTGTCAGTATTATTACCCGAACACCATTGTGTATAATTGGTGCACCAGGTACATCATTACATTTATATTCTTTGATTAAAATTATGAAATTAAATAAATATTGTTTTATTTATAGGTCAATCAAAAACACTTTCATTTCAAATTGTTTTGCAAAATCTTCAAGGTTCTCAATTATCAACAAAAGAATTTTGTAAATGTTTGCCAGCTGTCGATCCATTTTTTTGTCTTGGATCAAAATATAGTCGACCGGAAGATATTGCATATGTTTTTGAACGAGCTATTAAACGTGAACAACAATATCAACAAAATCGAATAGATACACGATGTGTAAAAGTTTTTCTTTATTTTATTGATTTTTGCTAATGATTCATTTATATATGATTATTATTTAATATTTTTTTTTAGGTTGTTTTCTTGGACGAAGCTTCATTACCTGACGAGAAAAAGATGGTATTAAAAGTACTACATCCTTATTTGGATGAATATAAAGTGGCTTTTGTAGCTGTAGCTAATAAATCATTTGATGCAGCTAATGCTAATCGAATGATATGTGTCTATCGATCTTTACCATCGAAAGATGATCAAAAAATATTAGCATATGGTTGTCTTGGTCTACAAACCGAATATGAACAACAAACCATCAAAAACCATCTTGATGTTATTATATATGGTCTTTGTCAAGGTTATCGGAAAATACTTTCAAGTACAAATATTCCTCAAATATTTCATGATCGAGATTTTATTTATATGCTAAGAGAATTACGCTTTGAATTATCAATAACAACAACAGACAATGAAGATACAAGTATTGGTACTATAAAACCAATTAGTCTATTACGTGCTCTTGAAGATAATTTTAATGGAATTAATCAAAATGAATTTAAAGAATTAATTAAGATCTTTTTTAAAACTATTGAAGAAAATTCTCCTCATTTTTGTTTACCAAACGAAAGACAACAAGAAAAACTTTATCGAGATATTCCAACTATTCTTCAGGATTCATTGAAACTCGATTCAAAATCTCGACGTCTTTATGGTCGTTATAAATTAATTATTGATGAATCAGAAGATGAAAGTGCTATTAATCTTTTATTACAAACAGGTATTCTAGATTCTGATCGTAATCGAACAACTATTTTTCGAATGTCAGATTTTTCTGATGATATTAATAATGAATTACGAAATGTTGAAATATTATCAACAATTAAATTATGTATGGAAACTGGAAAAACAATTTTAATGGTCAATACAAGTCGAATTCATGGTTCCCTCTATGATGTTTTTAATCAAAACTTTTCAATAATGGCAACAGGTGATACGAGAAAAATCTTTTCGAAAGTTGCTATTGGTCCAAAAACAATTGATGTTATTGTTCATGAAGATTTTCAATGTATTGTTCATGTTAAACGAAGTGAATTTAAAGATATTCCAGCACCTTTTCTTAGCCGTTTTCAAAAATATTCATTAAGTGTCAACGATTTTTATCGTATTCGATTACAGAAACTTCCTATTAATGAACAAATTATGCTGAGAAATATTGAAGAAAAAACTCTATCATTTATTCAACATTTTGGACGACAATATTTTTATGGTATGAATGAAAATACTCTGTATTCATGTCTTCTATCATTAATTAAAATCAATGAAAATGAAGAATATTCATTATTAAATATGCATCATCATCATACACAATTGACTATTAAATTAAAATCATTTATTGAACAAAATCCTACTAATATTCAACAATGTCTTTTTCGATTGATACTATCAAAAATGATTCAACTCGTTTCACCCGAATCAATCATATTGAAATTACCAGCATTTGAAGAAAAAGTTGAACAATGGTTATGTAACTTATATTTTCAACAGCAAGAACATTTTAATTTGGAAGATTTCATTCANCTTTGGAAGAAAGTGGCTAATTCTTCTTGAAAAATGAAGCGAAATCATTTTGAATTTTTAATAACAAGTTTTTCTTGTATTCGTCCTCTTAAAAAAACTCAAACCCACTAAACAGTAGTCAACGAAATTTATCAAGGATAAAAACTAAACGCAACAAAAAAATTCAAAAGTAAAAATTTCCAGTGACAAGTAGATGAAATTCAGACATAGTATTTCATTGAGAATATTCATTCTCTATTTTAACTCAAGATATATAAAAAAAACATTATAATCTATGAGCATCTTTGGAATAATATTCTTCCAATTATTTCAATTACACCTAATTCAGCTATTGGTTGTGCAAATTTATTTTTCAGATATTTTCAACGATTACAAATGCAAAACTGAAATCAGCATGATTTCTAAAAAAAAATATAATTGAAATAAACTACTTGTTCTGCACTTTTTTCTTTCTTCAAATAGACGACCTTCTTTTTTGACTTCACGACGCATTAATTCTCTGGCGTATTTTGAAACAAATATTGACACAATGCTGCATAAAAAAAAAGAAAGAGCATTTTTTTGGTAAGAAGCATGCGTTTTGTGCAAACTCATTGTTGCAATTATTTTGGACAAAAATATATGCATATCATATTTTACCAGGTAATTTCAACTTTGAATGTTCCTTTTTTTCTTTTATAAATAATTAATTTTGGGTATATCAATAAAATAAGTCCTGTTAAAAGTCATACGAGTATGATTAATTTGTCAACTAGCTTTAGTATTCTGATATGTAGAAAACAGGGTTCCGCATGGGATGTCGTCTAGTAAACAGGTTATTCAAAGTCTTGAATCGATTATCATAACTATTATATTGAATCCTTTTATTTTCTTTCTAACTTTTCTCCTATTATCAGCTTATTTTAATATTTTAGTTTTTCTACTAATCGCACAAATTATACTGGTTTCTTGAAAAAACGATATTGCGGATCTTGATGAACTCCAATGAAAAAGACAGTTGATTCATCGAAATTATTTAAGATATATTTCAATTTATTAGACTCCACTAAAGTCCAGAAACGACTTTTTTTCTAAGAATATTGCAGTCCCATGTCTCGAAACATTAACAAGTGACAGCAGTTCTTCTTCCATACATTTTATCCTTTGAATCTCAGATTGTTAAGGGTTACTGAAGATCATCTCACATTGTTGTACTATCCGACGGACTTCTTTAGATGTTTTGGAATCCAACTGACTCCATCAAGATTTGCTATTTACCAGTTAGTTTTCTCTAGATCACGACTTATAAAAAGTTTTGCTAAAAAATTGATTTGAAGTAAAAATTTATTATGATTATGTTTTTTTATCCATATACCATAATGAATCGTTCTGAGAAGGATATTAAAAAATATAAAACACGTGAAACTAATATAGCAATTAAAAGATTTTTGTTATGCAGGAGATAATTTTACTTTACTTAAAAAGAAAAAACTAATAAATGGAATATTCTACTTTTTCAGATTTTTTAAAAATGGTCACTATCAGCATAATATATATATATTAATACGAGCCTAAAACATTAATTCATCTTGAATTAAGTTTCTTATTTATGTGTTATGCTAATAGTAACCATTTTAAAACAATCTAAGAATATTGAAAATGTCGTTTTTTGATATTTTTTCAAATAAAATGAAATCCTCTATGCGATATTATGAAACGAATAATCTCAAACTATAAGGTAATTCATATTATTTAAATCTCTGTAAAAGGATTTAAAGTTTTTCCATGAAGAAAAGTATAAGAAAATCAAAAGTGAATCCATTTATGTTAAAAGAAAAGACCAATAATAAGAAAACAATAAAGCCTACATTTCGCCATTTCTATACAGTGCGGGAACCAAGTTTCAACAGAAAATAAAACGCATTTTTTAGTGGAAAAATAGACGAAAATTTCATGGTACCGAAAGTTCGTCCCATTCCATCCGGAGCCCTTGTAGAAAAGTTGAGAAAATTAACTGAAATAAAAAATAAAGACATCTTGGCAATTAGAGCCTAATTTATTTGAGTTAAACATATGAATATAAACTATTCCCGAAGCAATTATCCACAAAAGTTTAGGCGAGTCCTGCATAACAAAATTTTCTTCTATTCCCTCAATTTAAAGGCAACTGTCTGAAGCAAGTGCATTAGCCTGGTTATTGCTTCTCATTCGTTTTTTTATCATGAAGAATTCTTCTTTGAAATGGCTGATCATCTGAATGTCGACTTAAGCTTATTATATGTTTCTCTACGGAAATCTAACATTTAGAAATAGAAGATATCCTATAAAATCACGTTCTGATATTTTTTGGGTTTTGTTCAACTTATTTATTTAAATATTAAGATATGTCATTAAAGAAATTGGAGATAATTCCGGTTGTCCTCCAAGACTCTAGTATTTAGAAAGCAAAACTTACGTAACATATACATTCGCATTAATTTTATTTATTATATTTTTTTCTGTTTTAGATCAGATAATCTATTATTTGTATCAGTCAAGCTATATTAATCTTTTATCGAATCAATCGTGACTTTCAATTTTAGGTTAGTGTGTCTTTTTTCGTGACGGTTCTTGAAATGATTATCAAACATATATTGTTTTTGTGTTAGATTATCACCTTAAATTAATACATGGCAAGAATAATTAAAGTTTCCACTAAGTGGTGGCACGAAGAGAGAGAAATATCAGAATCAGCGGATTGTATTAACACAATTATCAACGATAATAAAGAAGAACAAGCATATTTTGATCTCATTCTTTCTACTTTTGAAAGGTATGATGAATCCAACCGTACTTATATAAACAAAAATTTTTTGGCCGATATTGATTTTATTATTCAATGTGCAATAACAAGTTTGACATCATCTGAACATTCTCAACGATTAGTAAAATGTATTGATGCTTATTTTTATATCTATCGTCGGGTTACAGAATACAATGCTTATGATAGACAATCTGACTCTTCACTAAAAGAATTTCAAGAAAAATTACTTCAGGAATTAGGAAATATATTTAAATTAACAAAAGGTTCAATATCAATTCTTTCCACGACAAGCAAAGACTTGATAAAACATATAAATATTCAACAACATCTTGCTGCAGTTACAGAGTTTATAGATCTGGAAAACTTACATATATTATTTGCTCTTTGTAACTTATCATTTCAATCATTCTTATTAATCGAAGATTATGTTCATCTGCAATGGATTGATATATTTTCGAAAATACATCAATGGAAAATATCACTCACAGATTTTGTTTTACAGTACATGGAATACAAACTAGCATTTGAAAAATTTCCGCTTGATATATCATCGTTAATTTACCTTATACGGGTCATCCATCCATCAGGAACCATTGAAGAGTCCCCATTTCTCATTTTTCAAGATATTCTAAGTCAATTGAATTTAGATCATAGAGAATTTTTCGATGAATTTCTTATCTTATTCGGTAATGGTATAAAAAATAATTTTTACAAACTTTCCCACATCGCTCCGTTATTACAAATGTTAAGTGTACGAGATGAACGACTATTTAATCAATATTTGTATATTTACTCATCTAATACATGTACTAATTCTATATGGAATATGTTTTTATACCTGAATACAACTGAGGATTTTAATCAAATCATGCAAAAATATTTTAGTTTGATTTTAATGCAGCAAATTCAAACTATTTCAATTGAAATATTAAAAAATTATTATAGATCGGTCAATGAGTGTGTAAATAAAATTAAAGATGAAAATCGTGAAGATTTTTTGAGAATACTCGAAACTGTACTCTGTGCATTTCTTAACAAACAACTTACCGATGAGCACTATTCCTGTCAATTTTCAGAGAATGATTTAAAAGAATTATTAAATATCGCTTTTGAATTATCACCAACACATGATCTTCAAAATCGATCTTGTTCACTAATTATCCAATATTTGTTATTCAAATTAGTTAAGAATGTACCATCAAAATCTATAAAAATCAAATATCTTTTTGAAAGACTTAATAATTTTGATACAAATTTATGTGAAACAAATGATCCTGCTGATATTATAAAAGATGAGTGGTTAATTGATTATATTTTTCATGTTCCTCAAGATTGGTTGATGATAAGCAAAAATGATTATCAAAATCTTAGTGATATTCACCACAATAATCGTTGGTCAATTTATATTTGGTCAAGAATTATCAGCTTGAGTCTTTCAACATCAGAAATCGGTAAATGGGACGAAATACTTGCAAAATTAAATGAATGGATGATCAATGTCCAGCATGACATTTACAATGCCAATGACATTTTAACAATTATTTTTGTTAAGAATATATTCGAAATTGTGATTTTCAAGCATACTAAATCTGTACTGTCTACTCCAAATATTGGATCGATTCTTCAATTTATTTTACATACTAGACAATATAATTCTCATTTAATTGATATAAAACAAGTTGATAATTTTATTGAAAATGTATGTCATTTAATTCGAGATATTTTATCATTAAATAGTAAGTTCAATTTATGAAAATCTTCTTGTTACTAATTGTTTAGAAAAAGAAATCAAGATTAACAAAAAATATTGTGTAATCTAACTATTGATGAATGTGATTTCTGATTAAAATTTCATTCTAAAATGAGTGAAATTCTTTCTGAATAATTGAACAAATAGCTAATAGAGATTGTCAATTTTGACTTAAGAGTGTGGACGTTTTGAAGAAGGTATTTTCTTGCACTTATGCCAAACCGTGTCTTGCACATCACACAGTATTTGGTTTTCGCTGAAAACTCGACAAAACGAAACAAAATTCTGCTATTTTCGCATAGAAACTATAACATCTTTTCGACTTTTTTTTTTACTAACTTTAAAGCTATACTAGAGTTCTCCAATGGATATATGACATTTTAAAGCATATGTGGCAATGGCAAACTTTCTATTTTCACGTCCAAACTATACTCTTTTCATAGCATTAAGTCATGTTATGATCATTGTTTAATTCCAGGTACACGTACAACATATCTTGGACTTTTACGTAAATCAAACATTCATTATTTTCTTCCTTTCTTTGATCTTGAAAATATTCTCACTTCATCTGATCCACAACAGTACAAATTTCCTGTTACAACAATCAACATTGATTCAATTGTTTCTATTCAGAAGCCAAATGATATTGATATATCTAAGATTGATTCAAAAGAGGAATTTCTTCATCGTTTTATACTACACATTAATCGATGGCTAGAATGGTATGATAAATTTATCGACATTTTTCAATATATTATTGAACGATTTAAAACCTGGAAATTAGACGATGCTGAACAATTATTTATCGATATACGCACAATTAAATATGATTCATTGATTAGAGTCATTAAAATAAAATCAATCATTCAACAAATTTTAAAAATACTCAAATCTTTCAACAATCTTCAACGTCTTTGTGATCTATTCAATTGTTTAGATTCCTTCGAATCTATTGATACTGGTTCTTTAACTCATACAGACCAATCACAGTCTTATATTGGAGAACTCAAACGATTGCATACTAATACTACGTTCACAGTCAACGCTAATACTAGTCAAGAAAAACACTTTATGATTGATGCTTGTCGACTTGTTCATTGGTCGTTTGCTTGTGAAAAATTTCCTTGTAATATTAAAGTAGAATATCATATTAATACCCCTCATAGCAAGACTTATACATTGTTTCATAATCAAAATGCTCCTCTTCATAAGCAAGTTTTACAAGGTGAATTTAAAACTGAACGAAATGGAAATTTAATAATAACTATTGACAATCGAAACGAACGCGCTCCGCAAATAATCTGGTATCAATATAGAACAATTGCATTATCAACATGTCATTTATTTGATGGTATATTCAGTATGTATTATAAAAAATATTCCAAACAATCAATTAAGAATATTAAAGAAGATGATCTGAGTAAATTGATTGATCAAACATTTTATTTTATTGATAAACTTTTAAATGGTGAAATTACTTTACAAGAAATAGACTATCTCAAAACAGTTTTTTACGATAAAAATATTGATGTTAAAGAAGAAGTGAAAAAATTGTTTGCTAATCGTTCAATCAACGACAACAAACAAGAAAGAATGAGAACAACAACAGCAATAGATCACCAAGAAATAGAACAAGTTTGTGAATGGTTACGAACTTATCAGTATTATACTCATCTTAGTATTATAATCGATTGTGTACAAAAATTTAATATCATTTCAAATAATGAATCATTTGATCATCTACATGAAATGATTATTAATGAAAATTGTTCTTTAAAAACATTTTCAGAAACGTACAAAGATCTTTATGAACGTTTTCGAAAGTTAACAAATCATCATTTACAATTAATTAAAATAATTATCGAATGTTTAAATGTTGTTGAAATGATGAAAAAATTTGATTTATATTCTACTCATGGATTACGCCGATTTCAAGAGTTACGAGATAATTTAACAACACAATTTCAATTACAAGAACGCAATAATATGATTCTTAACTCATGGATTATTAGTTATGCATTATGTGAACCATTTGTTCGTCAAGTAAAAAGTTTAGAAGAATTTGTAGATAATCTTGCTAAATTATCAAATATTGATGAAAGTTCATTAAAACATATTAAAGGTATTTAATATCTTAAAAAAACGAACTCTATCTAAAAAAAAAGTTTTTATGCGCTTCCCGTGAGATTAAAATGTGAAACACGATGTTGCTATTATTTCTTATCACATAAAATCGTTGTTTAATCTATTTTGGGGACCCATTCCTTCATTATTGCTAACTTTAATGTCTACCCTAGTCTACTTTTCCCAGACAAATCCATGAGAAGTCCTCAAGAAATCTCCCAAATTTGTTTTCGTTTTTTTCTCAAGTCCTTGGGTATTCCAAGAAATATTTCGTCGCAAACTTTATTTTCTGTTTTTAAACTCCCTCGGAGATTCCCGACAAGGATTGCCAAAAATGTCGAGGATTTTTCTGGGAAAAGTGGACTAGGATAAGACTACAATAAGTAATTTATATATTCGAATGAGATGTTAGTGATCAGCAGTTTGTTATACCCAAAATTAATAATAATCAAAAGCATGAATTTTGCCCAAGAGTTATTCTATTATAAATTAAGTTAGATATTTTGTTGTTTGATTGATACATCGTTTAAATACAGTAAATGTAAGAATAACGATATGCCAAAAGAAAAACAGTACTAATAGGAAACAAGATTATGATTGGATTTTATTGAAGAATCTTTTTAATAGATCTATTAAGACGATAGATTAATATTCGGCAATGACTAGGCATGCGTGGAATTTGAACTCAAGTTTTTATTGTAGGACATTCTATAGTCTTAAGCAAATTGTCTTATAAATCATATCAATCAAAACATAATCCAAGAGAAAGAATCCAAAACAAAAACAGGTATTGAAGAACTATTTTGGAAATCATATAAATAAATTCTGAAATTAATTTTTCTTGACCAGAACGAGACACCCGAAAAACTATATAGATCCTATAGACCAGCAAAATATTACTGAGAAATGAACGAAAAACAGAGCCAGCTGTTTTTAATGGATATATAGACCAGCACCCTACATGTTTCATCGTACATATTGTCATTTTCAATCAATAATAAATTTCATTAAAGTATCTTTGAAATATCCTACAAGCATTGAGATCATGTATACTTTAAAATAATCTAATAAAGGTGGTACCACTTCATTCACATGTCACAGGACTCAATTCTTATACTTTCATTTTAAACTTTGAAAAGTACCTGCATTAATCATTGTAAAAGAAACGAAATAATATTTATTTTTGTCTTTTTAGCCGTCAATGATAATATACAAATTGTCAATATGTGGCTATCAACAGAAGAAACAACAATGTTAGACAATGCTCTTATTACAATGGAACATTTATATAAGACGGGTATAGTAAACATTCATCTAAAACATTTAATAAATGAAGAATCATATTTTGAAATTGAATATTCAATCGGCAAAGTATCAACACAAATCACTAATAAAGAAGATGAAAAAATACAACAACAAGAGAAGCTAACATTCACATTATCCATGACCGATATTGACGATCATAAACGTCAATTAACATTTTGCAATGTTGATCTACAACAAAATATGATTAACAAAAAGATTTTATTAAATGAACAACTTAAATTATTATATACTATCGAAAAAATCTATTTGATTCTTGTCAAACTTGAAAAAACCGGCCATCCAAATTTTCAATTGAAAGAATACAAATATGAAATCTATGATCGAACAAGTAAGATTTTAAATAGACAAATTCATTGTTTATTTTTCGTAGCTTCTTGATTTTATTAGGTAAAATTAATAAAATATTATCTGATTTAAAAACTAATCAAAATATCACTGAACAACAACTTGAACAAGCAATTCAAGGTCGAACAATTGATTTTGAATTAATTTATCGTAGTTTAGAAACTGTTTATGATATGTGGATAAGAGATTTAGGAAAATATCGAAATGAAAGTCGATTATTAACATTATTTTCAAATCGTCAGGTTATGATCATGATTATTTTATTGACAATATCAACAACACAAAATCAAATTCAACAGAAATTTTTAGAGAAATTATTTCCATTAAATAACTTCAACAATCAACAAGAAGAACAATTTAATTTAACTATTCTATGTTTAATTCATTATTTACGTTCATTGAGAATCAAAGATTGTAATTTATCCAGAGAAAATATAATTTCTCTATATAACAAATATAAAATAGAATTTGGTTCTTCGACAGGTGAAAGTTTAAAACGCTTATGTTCTTTTTTAAAAGATTTATTCAATAATGGTGAAGAATTATTAATAAAAAATACTCTGACTAATGAAAATCAACAACTTCTAATTACATTAGATACTCTGGAACAAACACAAAATAAAAAAAAATTTGATAATGATTTTGACATGAATACTTGCTGTATTCTTTTAAATATTTTTAAAGATCGATTACCAGCTGATTATCAAATCTTATGGTGTTCAATTTCAACAGAAGATGATATACGATTATTCTTTTTACGTGTACGAACTTTTCAATATTTAACATTTGCTGTTCTTGATATTGATAAAATGCATCATCGACTTCGAGAATTACTATTAAATGAACAAGATTTATTAGCGAAACAATCTGAACCACATGGAATAATTTATTATTTTTCAAGAGAATTAATATCACCTAGAAAAGGTTTAAGACCATTCTATATAAAACCACAATATCGAAATCCATCTCAAACTTATACACAATTTGTAAATTTATTACAAAAAAATAATATTCCATCATTAGAAATTGAAACTATATCTGGAAAAGCTGGAATTGGTATGAAATTATATCTTTCATTTTTGTTTTTCTCTTCTTTTAATTTCTTTCTTTAATTTAAAGGAAAAACTCATTATATCAAAACAAAATATAAAGATTATAATATGTCATGTGTAAGTATCAATGATAAAATAAATTTATCATTATTGATTAGTACATTTCTATCATTGGAATCAAAAATATCAAATAGTCAACCATCAATTTATTTTAATATTTCTATTCATGCACCGTTTAAACAATTAAATTCTATACTTTTTTCTTTATTTATATGTGGTTCATTGAATGATCTTAGTAGTGGTTTTACATTTTCACCATCGATAACAAAACCATGGAAATTTATTATGGAAATTCCTTATAGAGAAAAATCTCATATGTCAATTAAAGAAAATTTTGATCAAATATTACCAATACTTTCGATTATATCAACAAAAACATTAGAAGAAATAAAAGATGTTAATTATCAATTATTTATTGGTGAAGAAGAAGAACTTGTTGCAAGATTTCTTAATGCTTATGAGAATCAAACAATTGATCGTCTTGCAAAACAACATCGTTTTAATGGTGAACAACCCGTAGATTTCGATCGATTAATAGATTCTAATGAATGTCGTCACCATATTTACAATTGCTTTGAAAAATATGCACCAGAACTGCCAAGAAATAAAATTTTTGAGCTTTCTTTTACGAAATTTTTATATCGTCGTGTACGATTTTTTACTGGTTTTTTTTATCGTTACAATGAAATTCATGAACGTCTAGGTTCAAATGCTATGGAACAAATGATAAATGAAACAAAATATCTTACACAAATAGATTTTTCATCAGATAATTATCCTCGTATTTTTCTTGTCTATGATCCATCATTTTCATTACATTTATTACATAATGATTGGGATAATGTTCCATCAACATTAAAATCTCTTTTTTTCAATATGGATCCAGCAAAAGGAGATGAATATATCAATAAAAATTATTTTGTTAAATGTTTATCATGGTTAATGGATATTCCTTATGATATTTTCGAAACAATCATGAATGAAACAAAATTTATCTTAACAGAAAATTTTGCTTATAAACTTTTTCATATTCATGAAAGAAAATTAACACGTTTAGCCTTAATTATTGAAGGAGAAACAGGAGTAGGAAAAACTTTTCTTCTTAAATTTTATTCTTTATTACTTAATTCCAATATTATTTATGGTCAATTTCGCAATAAAATGGCACCGAAAATCCTTGAACGTACAAGTTTATGGTTATTGAACAATATTATGAATAATATTTTAGGAAGTCAATCGTATTTATTAAGTCTATTTCTACGACGAATAGAATCAAAAATACATAATTGTAATAATATAAATGATAACGAAGGAGAAGAAATTTTATTTGAAGAAGACGATCAACATATAAATCATCAACTTTTATTAGAAATAAATGAATCCTTACAAAATTTTAAATATAATCATGATGTTTTAAAATGTATATGGAAAACAATAGTTACTATCGCACACGAATATGCGGCTGACATTGTTCAAAAACTTTTTGTTGCATTATATGAATTTGTAACATCATATTTAGAAGATTTTACATTAATGGAAGCTAGTTATCAATTAAAAAGATTATTAGAACAATTAAAAATCTTAACAGTGAAAGAATCTATCGAAATATTCAATCAATTTCTGAGTCATACTCGTATTAAACCATTATTTTATCGTCTTCTTTTACATCCTGATGTAACTGAAGAACAAATCGAAAAATTTATGTTTCCAATTTCTCAATTAGCTAAACAGATGTCTGCAATTGAATTAGTCGTCTTTTTTGATGAAGTTAATACATCATCTTGTCTTGGTTTATTTAAAGAAATTTTTATGGATGGAACATTACATGGAATTAATTTACCAAAAAATATTTTCTTTACTGCAGCTATTAATCCATTAATATATCTTAATAATGATTTTCAAGTTCATCGTGGTGATTATATTGTACATGAACTACCACAATCACTAGATAATCTCAAAGTATCTTATGGAGTATTAGATTCAAAGACATTAGAAGATTATATCAAACAAAAAATAGCAAAATTTACCGTGAGTTCATCAAGCAATGCTCGGAAACAAATATCATTAGAACAATGTACACAAGTACTGCTCACTCAATCTATTCTTAAAGCACAAAAATTATGTGAAGAACATCTAGGTATTTTATTTTCTTCATAAAAAAAAAAACTAATTGAAAATAATTACAACTAAATTCTATTGAGACAAAAAGAAAACAACAATTGTAATTGTCGTATGAAAAGACAATGAGATAATGTTGTTTTGTCAAATGATCCTTTTCTAGATAATGATACACATGTAGCTGTGAATATCTTTTTAGAGAACAACTTCGCGCTGAATAAAAAATAAATTTTTCATCTTACATATAATATTAAACTTACTTTTGTTGAGATTTTCATCGCGATATTCTCAAAATAAGGCATACTTTTATTTAAATACATTAATCAAAGTTTCCATTTTTTCTAAAAATTGATTAATTAAATGGCAGAAGTATTGCATTACGTGAGGAACAAGTGAGAGGCAGAGACTTATTTTATTGATTACGATCTTGATCGAGTTCATATGATAAATTAAGCGAATGAATTAATATTAGTATTTCAACAGCTAATATTTTAATTTAATTTAGGACGAAATTCAGTATCACAAAGAGAAATTCAAAGATGTTTTAATCTTATTAATTTCTTTTGGACAATGAAATATGATAAAGTTTATAATGAACAAGATAAAGCAATACGATGTGTTGCTTTATCATTAGCATTGATTTATTATTTTCGACTTCCCGTAAATGATGTTAATGCACAACAAACTGATCATAATACACTCTCACGTGAAAAACTTGGTGAAATTCTTTCGGAAATTATACCGAATTTTGTTAAAATTATTCAAGATGAACTCGAAAGATTTGTTACTACGGATAATTTTGTTATTCCACATGGTGTAGCTATTAATCAAGCCGTAATATTATTATGTTATTTTTGCAGTAGATTATTATTTGTTTATTTTTCTTTTTAGATTCGTGAACATATATTTTCTATTGTTGTCAGTATTGTCACTCGAACACCATTATGTATAATTGGTGCACCAGGTAAGTCGTCTTTCATTAAGATTATACGATATTCATAAATATTGTTTTAAATTAAGGTCAATCAAAAACTCTTTCATTTCAAATTGTTTTACAAAATCTTCAAGGTTCTCAATTATCAACAACAGAATTTTGTAAATCATTACCAGCCATTGATCCATTTTTTTGTCTTGGATCAAAATATACTCGATCAGAAGATATTGCATATATATTTGAACGAGCTATCAAACGTGAACAGCAATACCAACAAAATCGAATAGATACACGATGTGTATGTTTGTTGCTTTTTTATCTTTTTTATTATTTTCATTCATATTATTATGAAATATTTTTCAGGTTGTTTTTTTAGATGAAGCTTCATTGCCTGATGAGAAAAAAATGGTATTAAAAGTACTACATCCTTATTTAGATGAATGTAAAGTAGCTTTTGTAGCTATAGCTAATAAATCATTTGATGCTGCTAATGCTAATCGAATGATTTGTATTTATCGATCATTACCATCAGAAGATGAACAAAAAATATTAGCATATGGTTGTCTTGGACTACAAATTGGAGGTGAACAACAAAATACAAAAAAGGATCTTGATGATATTATATATGGTCTTTGTCAAGGTTATCGTCGAATACTTTCTAGTTCAAATATTCCTCAAATATTTCATGATCGAGATTTTATTTATATGTTAAGAGAATTACGCTTTGAATTACCAATGACAATAGCAGATGATGAAGAGACAAGTATTAGTATTATAAAACCGATTAGTTTATTACGTGCACTTGAAGATAATTTTAATGGAATAAAAGAAAATGAATTTAAAGAATTAGTTGAAATCTTTTTCAAATCTGTTGAAGAAAAATCTCCTAATTTTTGTTTACCTTTCGAATGGCAACAACAACAACAAAAATTTTATCGTGATATTCCAACTATTCTTCAAAATTCATTAAAACTCGATTCAAAACGTCGACGACTTTATGGTCGTTATAAATTAATAATTGATGAATCAGAAGATGAAAGTGCTATTAATCTTTTATTACAAACAGGTATTTTAGATTCTGATCCTAAACGAACATCTATATTTCGAATGTCAGACTTTTCGGATGATATTAATAATGAATTACGTAATGTTGAAATATTATCAACAATTAAATTATGTATGGAAACTGGTAAAACAATTTTAATGGTAAATACAAATCGAATTCATGGTTCACTCTATGATGTTTTTAATCAAAATTTTTCAATAATGGCAACAGGTGATATGAGAAAGATATTTTCTAAAGTTGCTATTGGTTCAAAAACAATTGATGTTGCTGTTCATGAAGATTTTCAATGTATTGTTCATATTAAACGAAGTGAATTTAAAGATATTCCAGCACCTTTTCTTAGTCGTTTTCAAAAATATTCATTAAGTGTTAATAATTTCTATCGTATTCGATTACATAAACTTTCTAATAATGAACAGAATATATTAAGAAATATTGAAGAAAAAATTTTATCATTTATTGATCATTTTGGACAACAATATTTTTATGGTATGAATCAAAGTACTCTTTATTCATGTCTTTTATCATTAATTAAAGTCAATGACAATGAAGAATATTCTTTATTAAATATGCATGAATATTATACACAATTAACTACTAAATTAAAGTCATTCATTGAACAAAATCCTACTAATATTCAGCAATGTCTTTTTCGATTAATACTATCAAAATTGATTCAACTTGTTTCACCTGAATCAATTATATTGAAATTATCAACATTTGAAGAAAAAATTCAACAATGGTTATATAATTTATATTTTCATCAACAAGAACATTTTAATTTAAAAAATTTTATTCAACAATTAGTTTTAAAATCATGGGATCAGATTAATAATTTTGAATTATTATTATTAGAAAATACCAAAGATCAAATAAAAATAAATAATATTCGTAAAACAACGAAAGTAATTATATTTACACGAACATCATCCTATGTCATTGGTTTAAACCAACAATCAAAAAATGAATTATTTACTAATAATACTGATGATGATGAGGATATGAATGGTAATGAAAAAATAGAAATTCTAAATTTGGTAAGTATTTAACTTCTGAGATTGCTTAAAAGATGAGTAGGCAAGAAAAGTTCAACACGCAAAAAAAACAATGAAATATGAAATTTATTGTAAAATTAATGAATAACTATCGTATGTCACAAAATAACCATAATGAAATCTTGTGTATGAATGAATCTATTTGAGTAGTGTGAAAAAAAGAATTTAATCAAACACTTTTTTTGAAACATTGTTTTCTTGTTTTTGTTTTTCGATGCGTGAGGATGTGAGACAAAGAGGAGAAGACCGAGTTTAGTGCTTCGAAGTTGAGTTTTCTCGTATTTCACTTTCATTGATTTAAAATATGGCGATTGAAGACAAACATGGTCAGCCTCAACATTTGCCCACAATTCATGTAGTAGGAAGCTGTGGGCCGGAACTGGGTTCAGAAATTCTTGAACTCAATGGGCTCTAGTTCGAGTCCACATAAGCGCGGCTCTACAGGTCTCTATCATACCTACCCACACTCCTGTATATTTTATTTAGGATACACTTGACAATGCAGTGGAATTACAAGATAGATTTCATTCCTATGAAAATGATCATAATAAAAATGTTTTAATCATTGTTATTGATGGTCGAAACGGACAACAACGTTTGCATATTCCTTTTGTTCGAAAACTGATCGATGAAACTGAATATTCTTATAATATTAATAATCGTGCAGAACGAAAATATTTTCTTATGCTTGTTCATTCATCAGCCCAAGATTTACATCATCAATCATGTTTTCCATCGATATTTTTACATGATTGGGAATTTTATTTCTTTGATACATGTACACCAGGTAGTGCATTTTATCTTCAAAAAATGTTACGAATTTTATCATCATCTCATGATGATCAACAATCACAAGTTATTGACAATGTATTATGTGATTTAAATATTCTCTTTGAAGATTTTTTATGGGATTTTTGTTCTCGAATTCAACTTTCTCTTCCTGAATTNTTGCCATAAGATTGACAAGCATATGACGTAAAGATAATTGAAATTCATCTTTACAATCGAGTTTAAATAAATCAATGGAAAATTTTATTTGATTGGATTCAATTAAAAATTAATTCTTATCCAGTTCAATTACAATTAATAGACATTAAAGTTATGTTATTATTAATTATTTACTATGAATATTATTGTAATAATCAATTATCATCCATAAATACATTATTAGATATAATTGAAAATAATTTACAATTATTATCTGAAGAATTACGATTATTTCGTGTTTTTATAAAACCTGAACAATATATGATTGGATATACAAGAGAAAATAATAATAATAATAATAGAGATAAAAATTTTCTTAATGATTTATTTAAACTCGATTGTAAAGATGAATTTCAATTATCTTTACGTCATATGCTTGTCAATCTTATGGCAATGATTTTATTAGGTGGACAACAATCTTTTCTTTGGACATTTATGTTTCAACCATTAACATTACAAAATACATTTGGTAAGTAGAATTAATTCGTTTTTGTTCTACTCAAGAACGATGCAGAATAAATTATTAATACTTCTACTCTATTACTTAATTAATTCTTGACAACATATTTCAAATCATTTATAAATTTAAATTAGCTGAATTTGATCACATGTGGATCGTTATGTTGACCATCAGAAAATGATCAACATATAACTTTTGATGTAAATGATATTCATAGAACCTAATATTGTTCTATTAGAACTCTGTTCTTATGTATAACTGTCCTATTCAGAGAAAGACATGTTGTGATTAGTTTCTTGAAACAGTGATTTGAACAACATACTATCTTATTGTTACTTGTTTTTTATTCTCAAGTAGGTGCCATTGTATCTTCGTACTAACAGTTTTTGTGTTCGAATTGTGGCTAGAAGACATACAAGAGTGCAACAAAATGAGAGTGAATGTAGGTGTGGGCGCCAATGAAGAGAAAACACCCACATCCTCACTTAGTGTCACTGAATGTCTATATTCAATACAATTTTAGGATTAAGTTATCATACTGTTTTCTTCTTTTTATTTCATATATGTACGCAATGTAGAGCTAGTCGGAATCATCTTAGGCCTAGATTTGACAGGTTCTATTTCTTTCAATCTTATTGAACATCATTCTTCAAATGTTTGAATTGGTTAAATAATAAATAATATATCATTAATTCTCGTTGGTAATTAGGATTTGGATCAACATCACAAATTACCATTCAAGCCAATGGTGTTCATTATGATTGTGGTTGTATCCTTTCACAAAATGGTGATTTATTACAATTTGCGAATAGAGCAAATGAAAATCCATTAAATATTCCAGCAGTTTATGTTGCTTATTTTTCGACATTCGGTGCATTGGTAAATATTTAAAATTTTTTTATTTCTTTTTTTTTTGTTAATAAATTGCTTCATTATTAGGCATGGCATCTATTATTATTTGATAGATCTGTTGAAAATTTGCATGGACCAGTTCTTTCACCAACAGCTATTGCTGATAATACACCAGTTTATCGACTTGCTGGTGATAATATTCGAGCTAAAGTTTGTTATTTTGTTTCTACGAGATTATTATCAACATTTCACTTTTTATCAATTCAATTAAATCAAAATGATGCTTGTATTCTTTTGACTCGTTGTTTTTTTTAACAAATGGCATATCTAATACAAAATCAAAATTTATGGATTAAATCTTTATATAGAACTATAAAGTATTTTATTTTGTTTATAATAATCTCATTGAACACAGAACTTATATTAATCAATTAAATTTATTATCACAAATATAAATAAATCTTTAAAATTCTATTGATAAAATGCAAATTATTATTCAATTTATATACAGGGTGGCCCATAAGTAACGCAACCGAAAGTAAAAAAATTGAATATCTTCATTATGGCTCGAGCAAAGGAGCTGATTTTTTGTGTACTCAAAAAGTGAGTACACTACTAAAATCGGTCAGTGTGTCCGGCCGTCCGGCCGTTAACACGATAACTTTCGAAAGGAGAGTCCAATCGCGATGAAATTTTCTACACANTATTTTATCCAATTCATCCCAGTCACTGAGCGTATAGCTTGGTTGAACATGTGATCAATTATTCATGACTGGCGTTGAATAAATGATTAAGATAAATAGTTACTGGTCCTGTCCCACTGTTATTTATGTAAGATAAATATAGTACTTTATTTGAAAATCTTTAAAAAAATTGTGTTGGTCGATTTGGAAAAATTTATCTCAACATTCTCATTCGTATATCTTTATTATTACAAAATGAGATCTCATCTAATCATACATCATTTGAAAGGCCGTCAGGAGTACTCAAACTTTATATAAATACCTTTGGTTCGAGATCACTTTTTGTTTGCATATGTATTAATTTTTGTCAAGCCTCAAAACTTATGAAACACCCTGTATCGATATGCTGTACTCGAACTTTATATGTGCAAAATAAAATTATTTTAATAGATGTAGAATTTTTGTCGCAGTGTATTTTCTACTTTATAGATCAAAGTCAAATGATAAATTTATTTTATCCAACAACAAAATGGCAACAAATTAATCTTTGGTTAAAATCTCTTTCACATATAATTGACCATTCTGTTAATGATTATGCCTTTTTAATGCGAGTACAGGAAAAAATCATTGATGAAAACCAAATTATTTCATCAACAATAGATCAAACAGAATTAATGATAATCGATATTATTGATCGAAATATTATAACAAAAGTTATTTTTACATTTGAAACAAATAGTCATTATGTTTATGCATTAAAATCCATGAAAATTTCTTCATTATTAAATAATGAAAATATTTTCGAACGATTAAATTTAATTGATATATCTTCTGATGATTGTTGTTTTATATTGAAGGAAACAAATGAAAAAATTTTAACAAAAGATGATCTTGAGAAAACTATTGATACTTATTCAACTATTGAAAATCAATCAATTCATTTTCAAATATCGATGTCAATACAAATAATAAAATATGATGATAAAGAACAAATAAAAATACCTTGGTTAAATAAAAATATAACTATTGAACAATTACTACATTTAACAGGAAAGCCAATCGATATTTACAAATATTTAGCTGTGAAGGATACTAATAGAATTATTAATTCTAATGAAAACCTTTCGAATTTAAATAAAATGACATTTATTCTTGTTAAAGAAAATGAAACTTGTCTTGTATCAATTAAGACATCGAATAATTTACAGCAAATTTATAATAATAAAGAAGAAAATGAGAAATATCAACGATTTAATGTTTTTGCTACTATAGCTGATATTAAGAAAGAAAATCATATTGATAGTTTACATCAATATCTTCTATATTCAAATGATTTTGTTCTATCAACAGATATTCAATTAATATATCTTCAATTGGAATCACCAATTCAATTTACTTTGATCGATCAAAATTTACCAATTTCCGTTACTATACAAAATGATGAAAAAAATAAATCAATTCAATTTACTTGTTCACTTTCGATAACAGTAAAACATCTCTGTACGCTTGCATGTCAAATATTTGGTATAAATTATGAGTTTTATTATTTATCTATGAATGACATTACATTAAATGATGATGAAATTTCTTTAAAAGATATTGATGAAAATATGACTGAAATTCAATTTCAAATGATTTCAACAGCATCTATACATTGCTCAATCATGTATTCCAATCAGAACATTACATTTCCATGCAGTCAAGATACACCAATAGTAACTATAGTTAAAGAAACTTTTCAAAAATTACACATATCAGAAGATAATATAAATATGTACGAGTTAATAGCATTGAATGACGATCGAACTCGAATCAGTTTCGATTTATCAATACATGATATTCGTGAATTGTTTCCTATTGATTCGACGACAGTATCATTTGAATTAAAGAATATAGATGAATGAAATAAATAATTAATATTATAAAATATATTCAATGTTCGACATAACTTCTATTTAATTCAATAAATGTATAACATATATTTGTATTCCTCATTTATATTTTTCTGTGAATACATTTTAATGTTCTAAACTAATATCAATTTTTGAAAAAAAGGCGTTCCGAGAGAATGCATATAACTTTTGAAGGAAAAGTGATGGAGACCTGCGGTTTTCACCATTTGAGAGAGGACATCGCGGGACGTAGATATAGATCAAAATATGATTG